TTCCCTCTAGCTCTACCTCCTCTCGTCTAGTGCTCGTCTCTCACCCCCCCCCCCCCCGTCTCTACCCCCCCCCCCGAACCTCGTCTCCCCCCCCCGTCTCTCGCCCCCCCCCCCGTCTCTCCCCCCCCCCCCCCGTCTTCTCACCCCCCCCTCCTCTCCCCCCCCCCCCGTCTCTCACCCCCCCCCGTCTCTCTCCCACCCCCCCCCGTCTCTACCCCCCCCCCGAACTCGTCTCCCCCCCCCCCGTCTCTCCCCCCCCCCGTCTCTCACCCCCCCGTCTCTCACCCCCCCCCGTCTCTCTCTCACCCCCCCCCCGAATCTCACCCCCCCCCCAGTCTCCCCCCCCCCCCGTCTCTCACCCCCCCCGTCTCTCTCTCACCCCCCCCCCGAATCTCCCCCCCCCCGTCTCTCCCCCCCTGTCTCTGCCCCCCCACCCGTCCTCTCACCCCCCCCCCGTCTCTCCCCCCCCCGTCTCTCTCTCACACCCCCCCGAATCTCACCCCCCCGTCTCTCACCCCCCCCCGTCTCTCTCTCACCCCCCCCCGAATCTCACCCCCCCCCGTCTCTCCCCCCCCCCCCGTCTCTCACCCCCCGTCTCTCTCTCTCACCCCCCCCCCCGAATCTCACCCCCCCCCCGTCTCTCCCCCCCCACCCCGTCTCTCCCCCCCCTGTCTCTGCCCCCCCCCGTCTCTCACCCCCCCCGTCCCTCTCACCCCCCCCGTCTCTCACCCCCCCCCCCTGAATCTCACCCCCCCCCGGTCTCTCCCCCCCCCCCCGTCTCTCCCCCCCCTGTCTCTGCCCCCCCCTGTCTCTGCCCCCACCGTCTCTCACCCCCCCCCGTCTCTCACCCCCCCACCGTCTCTCTCTCACCCCCCCCCCCCCGAATCTCACCCCCCCCCCCCGTCTCTCCCCCCCCGTCTCTCCCCCCCCCCCCCGTCTCTCCCCCCCCCCGAATCTCACCCCCCCCCGTCTCTCCCCCCCCCCCGTCTCTCCCCCCCCCCGTCTCTCCCCCTCGTCTCTCACCCCCCCCCCCCCCCGTCTCTCACCCCCCCCCCCGTCTCTCCCCCCCGTCTCTTACCCCGTCTCTCTCCTCTCCCCATATCCTACCTCGTCTCTCTCCTCCTCGTCTCTCTCTCCACCTCCTTCTCTCCCCTGCTCCTCGTCTCTCTCCCCGTCTCTCTCCCCGTCTCTCTCCTCTCCCCGTCTCTCCCCCCGTATCTTACCTCGTCTCTCTCTCTCTCTACCTCGTCTCTACCTCGTCTCTCTCCTTGTCTCTCTCCACCTCCTTCTCTCTCCTGCTCCTTGTCTCTCTCTCTCCATATCTTACCTCGTCTCGTCTCTCTCCTTGTCTCTCTCCTCCTCGTCTCTCTCCGCTGCCTCTCGCCCTCTCCACCTCGTTCAATGAGGCTGATGCAACCCGCGCATTGCGCATGCGCAACACGCCTGCGCCGCCCACGTGGCCGTGCGGCGTGACGCTCGGTCACGTGGGAGGAGGGGGTGCTGCCCGTGGCATTTGGTAAACCCACCGCTGTCAACCTCCTGTACACTACACTATACACTACACTATACACTACTATACACTACACTACTATACATGACTACATACCTGTCAACCTCTTATCAGTGACCCTACCTGATTACAGACCAATTCAGACCTTATTGGTCACTGCTTGCCTTTATAGATCTCAGCGTTCGTTCTACAAAGTCCCATCACAGGGGAGAGACACAAAGACACATGTTGTTCTTCTTGGTTCTTTCGGTAAAGTCACGTAGAAGGGAAGTAATAAAATAATAAAATAAAACATAATAAAATTATTCTCACGACGTTTCGGCCACAACGCAAGCAGCCGTCCTCAGGTGAAAACCAGGTCCGTCGAGGCGACAGAGTCTGAATGAAACAGCACACGAGCTTGGAGCATATATATAAGCTGGGCGCATTGACAAAGGAATTTGCATATCAAGAGGAATTTAGCATATTTATGGGAAATGCAGGAATGTGATTAGTACTGCATGTGCATTATGCAGGATTAACAGCATCAAAGGGAGCTGCAGTTGCTGCTGCTGCTGCAGTTGCTGCTGCAGTTGCTGCTGCTGCTGCAGTTGCTGCTGCTGCTGCTGCAGTTGCTGCTGCTGCTGCAGTTGCTGCTGCTGCAGTTGCTGCTGCTGCTGCAGTTGCTGCTGCTGCTGCAGTTGCTGCTGCTGCTGCTGCAGTTGCTGCTGCTGCAGTTGCTGCTGCAGTGCTGCTGCTGCTGCAGTTGCTGCCTTATCCATTTTCATATAACACTATGTATTATTCTACCCACCCTAATGTGTATCACACTGCTATATATTTACTATACAATTACGAAACCATACATTACTCTGCACACTGCACCATGCCAGTGAGTGGAACGCGGTCTGAAAGTCACCGTAAACGTGAACACAATCAGTTAAGATCCGAAATGGTTTATTACGTCCTTCCAATGATTGCTAAGCCAGAATCCATCTTCTCGGTTGAAATTGTCTCTGTGTTTGTATATGTGGATCGCCTCATGAACGAATCTCTCATGATAGCCAGATGGCTTGCAGAGAACCTCTGTCTTGGAGAAGTCAATGTCATGTGAGCCCACTGAATTGTAACAGTAATCTGCCACGGCTGAGGTGTTTGTCCTACCGTGTTTCAGGTCTGCCGTATGTTCACGGATGCGGTCTGAGACATGTCGTTTGGTTTCTACAATGTAACTGCTACCACAGAGGCAACTTAGTTTGTAGACGCCAGGGTACTGTATGTCTGGAACCACATCTTTTACAGACGGGACCATGTTGTTGTTGTTACCAGCATTGAAACGGCTGTACGCCGTACGGACCTGAAAACGCAATTTCCCTGTACAAGAATACGGGGTGACCCGTATCGATTGACAGCTATGCAAACCTATTTTGCTCTTTGTCGCTTGCCTCCGGTTGGTGGTGGATCCGAGGTCATACTCTTTGTTTTTTTCGGTAAAGTCACATAGGTAAAAAAAATACAAACAACTAAATTAATTCACAAAAATAAAATAAAATGAAAACAAATAAATTAAATCACGACGTTTCGGAAGCAACACAAGCTCCCGTCTTCAGTAGTGAAATTCACGACAGTAATTTTGCTGTGGCGGTTCCACCTGAAGACGGAGGCTTGTGTTGCTTCGGAAACGTCGTGATTTAATTTATTTGCTTTCATTTTTATTTTATGTTTGTGAATTAATTTAGTTTTAAAAAAATTTTACCTACGTGACTTTACCAAAAAAACAAAGAGTATGGATCCTTGCAGTCACGAAAACTTCAAATCTAGATCCGAGGTCAATCGCGAAACTCGACACAACGCTTGAACTCCAGGCCAACGCCGGCGTTATCAGTGCTCACCTGTTTACTACTGTGCAGCCCTGCACAGCCAGTGACCGTGGAAAATCCACGTTCGTATGGCGGGGGAAAGTCCTACCTAGGATAACCACGGTTGACTTCGCCCCCCCCCTTCCCCAAGATACTATTTCATTCTAGATTTCAAGCTTTCGTGACTGCAAGGATTCATACTCTTAGGTTTTTTCGGTAAAGTCACGTAGGTAAAAAATAAAAATAAAATTAATAAAAGTAATAATAGAAATAGAATAAAATAATAAATCACGACGTTTCGGAGGAAACACAAGCGTCCGTCACCAGGTGGGACCGTTACAGCTAGATTTACTGTATCAAGTGAGGCAAAACATTCCAAGATACAAGTTCTTAAATACAAGTTAAGGGGGGAGGAGGGGGGGAGGAGCTTATCTGAGTGTGGTAGCCAATGAACGGAACGTATTGGGGGGGGGCGGAGCTAAAAGAGAACAACAGGTGCACATGCTAAAGGTGCACATGCTAAAGGTGCACATGCTAAAGGTGCACATGCTAAAGGTGCACATGCTAAAGGTGCACATGCTAAAGGTGCACATGCTAAAGGTGCACATGCTAAAGGTGCACATGCTAAAGGTGCACATTCGAGACGTGACTTTACCGAAAAAACCTAAGAGTATACTATTTCATCTCATCACCATTGTTCAACCACCACCAACACTGTCACGACACACTCCCCACTCACCAACTCACCCACACCGTCACAACAATCCTCTTTCTGCCGCCTCTTCCCTCCCATCGCCGTCTACTTCACCCCCGAGCTCCTATAAGAATCTGGCTCAGTTCAAGAAGAGAGTTTCACAACTCGTATTTATTACAGCCTTGAGTGCGGCTTGTTGCTGGCTGCTGAGCCACGAGATGGCATGCGATGTCACCGCAGAGCTTGTGCCAGGCTTGGTGCACGTTGGGGCGATCACGTGTCGTCGTGTCGAAGGCTGCTCGCAGGAGATCAGGGGACAGACCCAGGTGGCACGGGTTGACTGAGATGACCGGCAGATGCACCACCTGGGCTCCCAATTGTGTAAAAAAAAAATTCAATCACAGTTCCTATGATCACTGTTACATTGCTTTTATAGCTTTAGTTTGGTGATTTCGAAAACGTTTTGGTTTAGCCATATTTGTTTGTTGTAGAACAGAGTTAGACTGATAACTTTAATCTAGATTGTCTTATGGTTGTTATTGTTTGACTTGCATCCCACTGGGATTTTTGCACACAGCATTGATATACGGTGCTTTTTCTAGAAGACTTTGCTGTTTTTTTCTGGATGTTTCTGTTTGCGTGTAGTTACAATAAGATGTTTTTTGTTCATGTTTCTGTTTGTTGCGGTTGCACCCGATTCAAGAGCCGAATGGCTCACAGGGCTATAACCAAATAAATAAAACTGAAATGAAACTGAAACTTGCTGCGTTTTATCCTCCCGGCACTTCAATCATTGTTTTGAGCGTCGCTCCTCCGCCCTCCACTGTTTTTGTTGGAGGGCGACTGCCTCCAGCTGTCCCGTAGCTTGACAGTGCACCTTGCGTGGCACAAGCCTCCTCCTCCACACCACACACACCGACCCACCGATGGGAAAAAGAGCCACATGGGCTCCAGTGAACACACTCACGCGCGTTTATTGACGCAGTGGCTCAACATTGGAACTTAAAGTTCCCTAGTTTAAAACCGCAACCGAATAACAAAAGTAGCTTATGCAAACGGAGAAAAAGCCATAGCTAATTTCACTCTAAAACAAGTTATGAAATGTAAGACCTGCGATTCTCGTGAAATAAATTCGGTGTCGAGTTGCGATGAGATGCACGTGAAAGTCTGAATATTTATACTGGAAGAATCCGATGAGCTTTAACGCTCTTTTTCACAGATATCCAGGCGGGTTCCGTTTACGCGGACGCCGTGCATCGGCTGTGCCGGTAAATGCTTCTCACGCACGCACGGCTCCAGTGTTTACAACTAAACTCACTCCCAGGCCACGTGGCTGCAGGGGTGTTTAAAAAAAAACTTTTATAATTAAATGTGGAGGGACAGATATGTGAGGGGCGGTGGCGTGATTTGTAAGTGGCCTTACCCCTCTTGTGATCGAGTAAAGAAATGACGGCAAGCAGTCGCGGTTGATACGCACGCCGCAGTATTAATCGGAGGGGGCGGCCTGCCGGATTCGAACCGCGAACCTCTGCAACGAGCGGCCAACACGCGACCACCGCTCCGGGCCGTCTCACCGCGCCCCGTGGGAATAATTGCAAAATGCGAAATCTCCCTTTAAAAAAACCTCATCCGAATTGCTTAAATCTGAAACGCGTCGCTTGCTTCTAGTCCATAATCCAGGAATCCTCAGTGGCACAGAATTGCACTTATAAAGTACTGCATGTAACATATGCCTTCTTAATGCGAGAGAGCAAAGCGTGAGATGTGAATCGGAAGGAGGAAAAAACCGACGCGTTATTCACGGGCGAACCGCGGGGGGAGGAGGGGGAGGAGGAGGGGGTCTTCGCAAATCCATGCACGAGTCCACGGGAGCGATCCGCGCAGAGCAGAACGACACTCACACACGACCATTCGTGTCGCGTCCACGCCGCGTTCGGCCTCCGCACTGCAGGTCACAGCAACAACTCAACCCCCCCCCCCCCTAACGCACCGCACTCCAGGTGACCTCAATTCTCATTCCTGCGTCATCCCTCGCGCGGCTCCACTCTGGAATTCCGCCCCATTGTCCCCCCACCCCTCACACGCACACACACCAAGCTCTCATAACGAGCACAACCCTGGCTCAATTCAAGACACGTGTCACACTCTCTGTCCATCACCGCGACGATGCTACTCGTGCCGTTTGCTACTGGCCGCTTGACGTTTTGGGCCCGCGCTGTGCAACGGTGTCGAAAACAAACCGAAAAAAAACCGCGTGAACAGAAACGACGACCTCCTCGGGTCACCCTGCAGTCACAGCACTCACGGGAGAGAGGCGATCACCTCGGTAACGGCCCCACCCCGAGCCAAGCTGCTCCTTCTCTCCCACGACACCCCGTGAAGAGCAACTTCATCGCTCGACGGGTTCACGCAGCCAAAGCACAATGTCCGGGTCTACGAATGACCCGTTCACAGCCGACGGTGACCTCCGCACGGTCCAATGACAGTGGTCAACTCCCTTTTAGGCAAAAGATCACCCCCCCGTATAGCCTCACCAGACTTTTGGGGCAAGTGATATTGGCGAGCACCTATTAAGGCCAACACGGCACACGAGGGGGTGGGTGGCCACAACGATGCCTGACCCACCTTTGTCCCCCGAGTGCCGATGTTTATATACACTAAACTATTTTTTGTTATTTTACCAGGTAAGGCCCACTGAGATGTACAGCTCCTTTTCAGAAGCGACCTGCCCACGAATGATAGATCGACAAATTGGCTTGTCATGTGGAAATTTCTAGCAGCCAAATCCTCTAAATGCATGTTTTCTAAACGTGGAGGGAAAAACCGGAGGACCCGGATAGAAATCCACTTGACCACAGGGAGGCCACGCAAACTCCAAATATACAGGCGTCGGAGTCGGGCTAGAACCCACGACCTCCTGCACACCAGGTGAGGTAGTTCACATCTCACCACCGTGGTTCCCCACTGCACCAGGTACTCAATTAAGGCTGAGTCGACCTATGGGAGGCCCAAGACCGGTTCGGATAATCATCACTGTCGGTCGCGGGCAATAATCGAACTCGGGTCGCCGGGTTCGGAGGTGCAGCACGCCAACCGCTACACCCAGGCACAGAGGCAGGCATTGCAGCCCACAGCGGAGAGCGATAACCGCGGGATCAGGGCACGGGGAAACCGAGCGGGCCCGGCCCTGCGGACATGCGTGGGGGGCTGGAGCCCCCCGTGCCGGGCTGGCGTGCGCGGTGCGTGCAGCCGCTGTCGCGACCGGGCGAGAGCGGTTGGGCATCGCTTTGATACCGGGGGGGCGGCTGGAGTCGGTTTCTCATTGTGGCACGAGAACGCCGGTACCACCGCTTTGAACCGGTTCGCCGTACGAATATAAAAGTTTCAGTCGCAGTTTGAGGTTTCTCGCATTGGCGCCAATCAGTCCTCCACAGTTGCGTGCGGTGGGGTAGAGTATGAGTACGCCCACCTCTACGAACATACCTGGTCAGCTGAGAAGAATGTAGCAAACTCCCTCTAAACCTTTAGTGGAAGCCAATTGGGTTACCGGGTTACCGATCATAGTTTAATAGCCCTCACTGAGTGTGGGAGAGTGTAGAGGGGAGGGAGGAGTGTGGGTGAGTGGGGTGTGGAGCGAGTCAGGGAGGAGTGTGGGTGAGTGTAAAGGGCAGGTAAGAGTGTGGGTAAGTGGGGTGTGGGGTGAGTCAGGGAGGAGTGTTGGTGAGTGTAGAGGGCAGGTAGGAGTGTAGGTGAGTGGGTGATTGTAGAGGAAAACCAGCCTCACCTCTGTGATGGTGTCAAATGATAATACTGTGATTGTAAGCAATGCCATTGGGAGAAGGCTGTGCTGATGCTAATCAGCTGTTACCCTCATGGCACTCACAGCCACAACAGAGGCGAATGGGGGCGCTGGACTGGTGCGAGGGGCTGGTGAGCCCCCCACCTTTCAATTATGTCCCAAAACCACGAATGAAACACCAAACTAAACTTGTGCCGGGGGCTCCGAGGGGGTCAGGCAACCATGACGTCATTTGACTAAACCATGTTTGGCAGAGTTAAGATACTTAACCCCCCACCTCCCCGACCCTTGGGGTTCATCCAGAAACAACGGGCAATCACTGCGGCTGACCATGTGGAATGTGGACATGATCACTGTTGAGGAAAGGCTGCCAATCCTCCGTCGGGAACTTGACCGGTACTGTCTGGACCTCTATGAAATATGGGAGGGGGGCAGTGGACTGGTTCTGTTTCCAGTCACCACAGGGATGGACAGTCCTCCTCTCTCAGGGCTGGAAACTATCAAACAACACCGAGTGGCACTTATTGGGCAGTGGTTGTAGGAGGCTGCTAGATACCGGTGCAGACCATGGGCTTGTATTCACCATGCTGTTCTGGCATCGGTGCATCCACATGCCAGGTCCGTTTAGAACATCTGCTGGACTGCGGTGATGGAACAGCGGATACAGGCCCATGTCCTTGAGATCACAACAATGAAGGGCGGAGGAGCGACGCTCACAACGAGTGGAGATAAACCGCAGCGAGTTGGCACAGTGAGAAGCACAGGTGGTGGTGCATCTGCCAGTCATCGCAGCCCACCCATGGCACCTGGGTCTGTTCCGTGACCTCCTGCCAGCAGCAGCGAGCCTTCCACACTCCAAGTGATAGCCGTAATGTGCAATGAGCCTGGCACTAACGCCGTGGTCATGTCACCACCACTTAGGGGTGAATTGCTGTTTTACGAGAAAGGCAGGGGTGTAGGGAAGTGTAGAGAATTAGGCGAGTCCATAAGAGTGTGGGTGAGTGTGGAGGTGAATGGGTGAGTGTAGAGTGGGTGAGTGTAGAGTGGGTGAGTGTAGAGTGGGTGAGTGTAGAGTGGGTGAGTGTAGAGTGGGTGAGTGTAGAGTGGGTGAGTGTAGAGTGGGTGAGTGCAGAGTGAGTGTAGAGTGGGTGAGTGTAGTGGGGGTGAGTGTAGAGTGGGTGAGTGTGGTGGGGTGAGTGTAGAGTGAGTGAGTGTGGTGGGGGTGAGTGTGGTGGGGGTGACTGCGGTGTGCGAGGAGCTGTGTGGTGGCGCTGTTGCCGCTAGGAGCGCCACTGGTCGGCGCGGTGCAGCTGGTTGTAGCGCTGCAGCTCGATCTGGTCCTTGATCTGGTTGATCAGGAGCTGCGCCAGCATGATCCCCACCAGCTGGCACGGGAGGGAGACACAGGGGGAGAGACACAGGGGGAGAGACGCACGGGGGGGGAGAGATGCACGGGTGTCGTGACCTGCGGTACGGTGGTGGACGAACGTGGTACGGAAGAGACGAACACAGTCAGTCAGAGAGCCTGGGTGCCTCTCGCGGGTGGAGTAATCTAAAATTTAAATATATATATATCTTTTACCAGGTAAGGTCCACTGAGCTATATCTTTTTTTCAAAAGCGACCTGGCCACAAATGATAGCTCAACCAAGTGGCTTATCACGTGGAAATTTATATCGGCCAAATACTCGAAGCGCATGTTTCTAAATGTGGAGGGGAAATACGGAGTATCCGGAGGAAAATCCACGCGACCACGGGGAGAACATGCAAAATCCAAATATGCAAGCATCAGGGTCTGGATCGAACCCACGACCTCCTGCAAACCAGGCAAAAGAGTTAACATCTCGCCACTGTTGCGCCCCAAATCAATGAGCGAAGTTCACGGGGACGGTGACGCAATCAGAGTTCTGAGCGACGGAGGAGTCTGCACGTCTGGGAATTGAGGCAGGCTCTGGATGACGAAGAGCTGGGGTCAGAGGAGAGACGGTGGTGACGGGAGGGAGGGAATTGCCCAGCGAAGCGGTGGCTGACCCTTGACGACGGCTCGTCATGAAGCGGCCCAGCGGTTGCGCGCTCCTCCAGCTTGTTGCTGAGGCTCGCGGTCCGAATTGGACAGGCCACCGGGATAGCGAGACCACGTCTCGTTCTGCCGTAGCATGGTTAGATGGGCGTTCAACATCCATATGTAGATTACATTATGTTGTGTGAATAAAAGTGTTGCTCCCAAGATAACGTCTGCGACTTAGTTGGACTCACGACACTACTAGTCGGGCAGGGAGGTGAGGGGGGGCTCTGGGGGGAGGGGTGGGCGGCGGCAGGAGGGGTGGTCGGTAGCGAGGGGTGGTGGTGGGGGGTCAGGGGGGGGTCACCTGCGGCACGGCGAGGCCCAGGGCGACGCCGCCCAGCAGGTAGAGGTGGCCGTGGGCCCAGGCCACCAGCTTGTCGATGCAGCCGCTCGTGTGGACCGAGCGCGCCGCCTCCAGCTGCTCCTGCTGCTGGACCCCGTAGCCGCACATGGAGTTGAGCACGGCCTGCGGCGCGCGCGCGGGCGGCAGCGTGGCACACGTCAACCTCACCGGCCTCGCCGGCCACACCAGTCTCAACATGATCAGCCTCACCGTCCTCAACATCATTAGCCACCTCACCAGCCTCAACATCACCAGCCTCACCGTCCTCAACATCATTAGCCACCTTACCAGCCTCAACATTACCAGCCTCATCGGCCTCAACATCATTAGCCATCTCACCAGCCTCAACATCACAAACCTCACCAGTCTCAACATTATTATCCACCTCACCAGTCTCAACATCACCAGCCTCACCGTCCTCAACATCATTAGCCACCTCACCAGCCTCAACATCACCAGCCTCACCGTCCTCAACATCATTAGCCATCTCACCAGCCTCAACATCACCAACCTCACCGTCCTCAACATCATTAGCCACCTAACCAGCCTCAACATCACCAGCCTCATCGTCCTCAACATCACCCGCCTCACCAGCCTCAACATCACCAGCCTCACCAGCCTCAACATCACCAACCTCACCGTCCTCAACATCATTAGCCACCTCACCAGCCTCAACATCACCAGCCTCACCGTCCTCAACATCATTAGCCATCTCACCAGCCTCAACATCACCAGCCTCACCGTCCTCAACATCATTAGCCACCTCACCAGCCTCAACATCACCAACCTCACCGTCCTCAACATCATTAGCCACCTCACCAGCCTCAACATCACCAGCCTCACCGTCCTCAACTTCATTAGCCACCTCACCAGCCTCAACATCACCAGCCTCACCAGTCTCAACATCATTAGCCACCTCACCAGTCTCAACATCACCAGCCTCACCGTCCTCAACATCATTAGCCACCTCACCAGCCTCAACATCACCAGCCTCATCGTCCTCAACATCACCATCCTCACCAGCCTCACGAGCAACATTAGTCTCACCAGCATTGCCAGCCTCACTTCTCACCAGCCTCAACCTCACCAACCCCCCCACCCACTGACCTACCCAGTGACTCACCCAGTGACCCACCCACCAACTTGTCCAGAATAATCAGGAAAAGACCCAAGCAATTATTGTCTTTTGGCAGGACCGCAGTCTGAAGTGAAGCATCACGTATCCACTCTTTAACTCGCCGGGTGAGCGAGCTGAGACAATTGTGTTTGCCCCACCTTAAGCGTGCGCAATAATAACGATCTAAACCTGTACCCCACGCAGGATCCGCTCGCTCTCAAAGAGAGGACGACTCGAGACGCGAGGAGAAACCACAGAGGGAAGGCAGCAGCTAGGCAGTGAGCCGGCCCTACCAACAATTCTCCAAGGTCTGCGGTCCTCTACATATGGAGGTGTTATCGGCCAATTAGTGTTCATTTATGTGGGAGAATACCGAAGCACAAAGAGAAAGCCCACACTCAATCCTACACAGACGGAACATTCTTGATTTGAAGCTTTCGTGACTGCAGAACTCCATACTCTGTGGCTCTTTCGGTAAAGTCAGCTGTGGTTGTCCCACCTGATGACGATTGCTCGTGTTGCGATCGAAACGTCGCGATCAATTATTTTTCCACCTACGTGACTTTACCGAAAGAACCAAAGAGACGGAACAAGTCGAATCCACATTTTTGGTTTACCGCCTTCTCCTCTGCGAGCCAGGGTTACGGCTCCTCCCTGGGGCCCATGAGAAGGGGAGTTTCACAACGACGCGTGTGTGTCATCCACCAGCCCTCGCTGCCGCCTCCACAGCGCGGGATCACAGGCAACCACGTGCAGCAGCGTGGCCGCCACCGCCCGCGACGGCAACCTGAGCTGCGTCGCCGCCACCACGGCTAGACAATTGCCCCCCACTCCCCCCGTGCGCCTCTTCTATCGCTACCACGGTCGACCGCGGCGTAGCGGCCGTGGCCGTGGGAGTGGGGGGCGGCACCTCGTCGCGCTGGGCGAGGCAGCAGGAGAAGGGCACCCCGCAGCGCTCGGGGCTGGGGTTCTCCAGCGAGCAGTTGAAGTACATGTTCCGGCTCCAGTCCTTGTAGGTCGCACCGCCGCAACACTCGAACTGCAACGGCAGGCACAGCCGCCCGGCGGCGGAGTGACGACCACGGCTTGCCGTTATTGTGAGTATTGGTGCGTTGTCAGAATCAGAATACTGCGCTCGGTTACCCGGGAAAGTCTCCCTGAATCTCGAGGCTCTAATTGGGGAGGGGTCCAGTCATGTTTGTCGCAGTAGGGGATGATGTTGCTGCTTTCTGCTGCTGTGTGTGATCCCAAATGAGTGTTTGGTTGGTGATTCGAGTGGGTGAGTGGGTGGGTGAGTGAGTGAGCAAGTGGGTGGGTGGGCGAGTGAATAGTGGCATGAGTGAGTGATTGGGTGAGTGGGCGAGTGTGTAGGTGATTTGGTGAGTGAATGAGTGAGTGGGTGAGTGTTTTGGTGAGTAAATGAGTAAGTGGGTGAGTGAGTGAGTGAGTGAATGAGTAAGTGGGTGAGTGAGTGAGTGAGTGAATGAGTGAGTGGGTGAGTGCTTTGGTGAGTGAATGAGTGGGTGAGTGCTTTGGTGAGTGAATGAGTGAGTGGGTGGGTGGTGAGTGAGTGAATGAGTGACTGGGTGAGTGCTTTGGTGAGTGAATGAGTAAGTGGGTGGGTGAGTGAGTGAGTGAATGAGTGAGTGGGTGAGTGCTTTGGTGAGTGAATGAGTGAGTGGGTGAGTGAGTGAATGAGTGAGTGGGTGAGTGAATGAGTGGGTGAGTGCTTTGGTGAGTGAGTGAGTGCTTTGGTGAGTGAATGAGTAAGTGGGTGAGTGAGTGAGTGAGTGAATGAGTGGGTGAGTGTTTTGGTGAGTGAATGAGTGAGTGGGTGGGTGAGTGAATGTGCAACCTCCTGCTGGCCGTAGTCGATGGCGTTCTGCAGGTCGATGTCTTCACGGTAATAGACGATGCCTTTGTTGATCAGTTTACTAATCCGGACACGTGCCTACAAAGACAAAGATCACCTGTATAGCCTTAATAGACTGTAGGGGCAAGTGCTGTTAACGAGCACCTATAAAAGCCGGCACGGCACACGAGGGGGTGGGTGTCCAGCACCACGCCCGACCGTGTTTGTCTCCCGAGTAGCATCGTTTTACACACTATACCAGGTACTCATTTGATGCTGAGTTAACCTAGGGCAGGCCGAAGATGAGGTTAAATATTCGTCACTATTATTAGTTACGAGCAGAAATCGCTGGGTTCGTAGCGCAGTGCGCTAATCACTGCACTACGGCTCATACGTGCACACACACGCATATGCCCACCCACACACCCGCATACACAAACATCTCTATTAATCAGAAATCATAGCAAAAATCGATAGAAATCACAGCAAAAACACCGCTTAACAGTTTGCTGGCGAGTGTCGCATCGTCACAGAAAACCGTGGCTTCACTGCGGATTCACGTGAAGCGCCACGTACCCAATCACCGCTTAATCTGACAGTGAAGATTGTTCTTCAGCTCACCGGGTGAGCGAGCTGAGACAATACGGACCGTGAGGATCGCTCTCTAGCTCACCGGGTGAGCGAGCCGAGGCAATACGAGCCAGCGCGTCGTAACGACGCGTGTGTGCGTGTCTGGCCGTGTTGGGTGGTGGAGGGCTCAATGGAGGCGACCGTTGCGACGCTGTCCCGCGATGGCGCCGTCACCTTGTCGGAGAAGACGAAGCCCAGGACCCCGGCCGCGAGCTGGAGCAGGAACACCACCGCGAGACACACGGAGAACTGTGGGGGGCGGGGGGGGGGGTGTGGGGGGCAGGGGGGGGAGGGGGGTCAGAGAAGGAAATGGCGTGGCGCTGGCCACACACCCTTCCCTCACATGCCGGCCTTCGTATGTGCTCGCTAACAACTCTTGCCCCAACAGCTTGCTGGAGGCTACATGTGGGATTTTGTGTGTGCAAGTAAGTTTTAAGATTCATGTTGTGTGTGAGAGCGTTGTGTGTGTGATGTGCGTCGGTGACATTGTCAGTTGTAATGCATAGTCTGAGCTCCATTACACAGACACACATGCATGTGTTGCAAACATGCACATGTTGCACACATACACGTGTTGCACACAAACACGCGCGCGTGTGCGTCTGTGTTGCAACACAAGTACACGCGTGTGTGGGTCTGCGTCAAAACGGTTTTATATTCGAATGAGCATCGAGGTGGCGCTCATCTCCGGTTTACAGCCCTGACAATGCGACTTTCCACGTTCCTATGACGGGGGGTAAATCCATGCTCAGGACCACTCGGGTAGATACGAACCATGCGTGTTAAATGGGGCCACCCTCATTCACGTCAGGCGTGTCGCTTCACACGCGATCAGCGACTCTCATATCGTCTCTCCACACACATGAACAGGCACCCCCAGCGGCAGTTGTCTCTGTGCAGCCTGCGAGCAAGCATTGGTGTGCGACGACCGCTGCTGCGTGATCCGATCCCTATCGGGCAGCTTGCTGTGTCATCTCACCAATTTGGACCGTGGCACCCATGGCAGGCGATGACCCAGTGGTTTCAAACGACATCACGGGATCTTTAACGCCCGCCGTGAGAGAAGACGACGGTGGACGTGGTAGTGGTCATTTTGTTTTTACAGTTAATACCCCCACCGCAGCATTAACCGGGGCGGCCAACGGGATTTGAACCGCGAACCCCTTGCAACGAGCAACGGGCTGCAGCGCTGCGTCCTACCATCTGCAGCAGCACGATGTTCTCGCGCAGCGCGCCGATGCAGCCGCAGAACGTGATGAGGAACATGAGGCCTCCGCCCACAATCAGCAGCACGGCCGGGTCGGCGATGAGCGTCGCCACCGCAGCGTCTGCGCAACGCACGCACACAACGCATGGTGACTTGAGTGTTCAGCCACGAAGGCCTCGCTGAGTCTCGCTCATGTTCGAAAGCGTCCTGCCTAAGTTTGTCACAGTAGTGGGGGGGGGGGGGGGTGATGTTGCGGCTTCTGCTGTTGCTGCAGGTGACCCAGATTTAGTGATCTGCAGGTGATTTCTCAGCATTAGGGATGCTTTTTTGGCCAATGCCAGCTACACCGAGCGGTTTTGTTTTAGCCGTGGGAGGAATCCGCAAAACCCGGAGGAAACCCAAGCAGAAACAGGGGGTGAACTCACAAGCTCCACTCTCGCACACTCTCGCACACTCTCGCACACTCTCGCACACTCTCGCACACTCTCGCACACTCTCGCACACTCTCGCACACTCTCGCACACTCTCGCACACTCTCGCACACTCTCGCACACTCTCGCACACTCTCGCACACACTCGCACACACTCGCACACACTCGCACACACTCGCACACACTCGCACACACACGCACACACTCGCACACACACGCACTCACACGCACTCACACGCACTCACACGCACTCTCACACACTCACACACACTCACACACGGTCACACACTTTCACACACTCACACACACTCTGCAGAACTCCACACAGAGAGGCACCAGAGTCGAGAATTGAACCAGCATCAGCACTGTGCCACCGCCGCCCACGCGTTACCCCCCCCCCCGCCACACGCAAGGGTTTCCTCCAGATTCCCCGGTTTATTCCCGTTGATAAAACAAAACCACAGTATCATTGGTATTGGCCAAAAAAACATTCCCGATGCCGAGAAATTACCTGCGAATCAACCCAGCACCACGCAGAACAAAGACACGGGAAGCAAAGCTTCCTTCACTTCCTGCACACATGGGTGTGGAGGCACGCCGCCTTTCGGTCCGCGCCTTCCCAGCCCTGGCGTGCGTCTCCTCTGCTTTCCTCACATCCTGCGATAGGCCCCCGTATCTGGTGTCACGACGCCGCTCGTCGTGCTATGATCAGTCAAGAGGCAATTGGCCGGAGCTGACGCACGCTGCACCGAGTTCAGCGTTGCTTTTGTGCAACGTTTGCAACGTCTCATGCGATGTGACGCAGTGATTTGCTGTGCTCGTTTCTATTCGCTGCTTCACTTGCTGTGCTCGATTTGTTTTGCTTTTTTTTCATTTTGGTGACCAGATCTCTCTTGGTTTCTCGAATTATCACCCAGTTAAATCAAACAAAGTTTCGATTTAAAGCTTTCGTGACTGCAGGGATTCATATTCTTGGATCTTTCTGTAAAGTCACGTAGAAGGGAAATAATAAAATAATATTAATAAAACATCATAAAATTCTCACGACGTTTCGGCCACAACACAAGCAGCCGTCCTCAGGTGAAGAACAGAGCTGTCGGAAAGACAGCGTCCCAATGAACACCGCTAAGCTTGGCAGCGTATTTTTAAGCTGCAGCGTGGACAAAATTCCCTGCCACGTGTCGTGACGGGCACTGCGAGATCCTACCATGTCTGTCCAGTGCTCGCCAAGCTGCATTGGCTTCCGGTTACCGAATGAATACGTTACATGGTTGCACTCATTACACACATAAAGTGCTTGCCACGAATTAACCAGAATACCTCGCTGATCCCGTCAAGGAGCATACACCATCACACTAACTCCAGTCATCCTCGCAGTGGCTTTTGGCGAGCTATTGAACAAAGATGGTCACAATATCGTGTGCTTTCACATGCGCTTTTGCAGCCGTCTAGAAATCTCTTAGCCACTGGCAATTTTAAATCTAGATTGAAAACACATTTCTTTAGAACTGCTTTTTGTGTTTACTTTGTTGTCCTTCCCCACACCCCCGATTAGTAAGTTCGGCTACGTACCTGTGTGAAAGAATTTCAACATACGTAAGTATAGTTTCACAGGTTCACGTTTAGAATCCAGCAGGCCACCCCGGTTAACACCGCAGGTGAATTAACCAAAAAACACTTCTCCTTGCGGTCTGCTTGGTTAAAGTTTCCCGCGACGTCGTTCGAAGAAAGTGGGCTACGTGTACCGGCGTCACAGTCCACGTTAAAATAAAACACAATCAACTGAAAATTAATCAATGGGGGTGATTGTGCACAGAGGAGCAACATCGTCCCCCCCCCCCCCCCCCCACTGCTGTGAAACTCGTGCAACCTGTCTCCGTGAAACACAACGGCGCCTTCCTCCGTGGTGATCGCCCCGTGCCACCCGGACCGACAGCGCCCATACCACACATGCACTCAATGGCTGCCGCTGTTCTTGCTGGCGGTTGTCCTTGCCGACTGTGGCCCGCACTGCACGCTGGCGCCGTAGCACCTGAGCCAGGCTTCGGGCATCACCTGCAATCTTCTCCACCTTGGCATAGACCCCGACCGCCAGCACCACCACTGATATCACCTACAAAGACAAAGGCAAAGATCCCCCATATAACCTTGGCAGACTGTGGGGGCAAGTGCTGTTCGCGAGCACCTATGAAGGCTGGCATGGTACACAAGGGGGTGGGCGGTCAGCACCACACCTAACCGCCTTTGTCTCCCCAGTGGCGATGTTTATACACCACATCAGGTACTCATTTGAGGCTGAGTCGATCTAGGAGAGGCCCAGAACCAGTTCAGATAATCGTCACTGGTGTTGGCCGTGAGCGGGAATCGAACTCCGGTCGCCGGGTTCGTAGTGCAGCGCGCTCACCGTTCCACTACCGTTCCCGACTACACACACACCAGCCACATCAACACCATCGTCACCAACCACATCAACACCATCATCAGCGACATAACAACACCATCATCACCAGCCAAATCAACAACATCATCAGCCACATCAACACCATCATCAGCCACATCAACGCCATCATCACCAGCCACATCAACACCACCACCAACTACATTAAAAACAACACCCATGGCATTAACAACAGCCACACACCTTTTGCGAGGCTAGGTTCACCTTGAGTTCACGTGAATTGTGGAATGCTCACTGGTAGGAGGTCACAGGGCAGACCCAGGTGCTACGTTGACCGAGATGGCTGCCAAGCTGCACCACCTATGCTCGTCACTGAGACAACTTTATACGTTTTAGCTGCCCGGCGCTTCACTTGTTGTGAGCATCACCCTTCGCTGTTGCTGGAGGGAAACTGCCTCTAACTGCCCAGTAGCGTCCTTGACGAGCCTCTCCACACAGGGCAATTTTGACACCGCTGGGAACAGTCATCTGCAGGTCTACTCAGCTTCACATCCTCCTGTACCGCATCAGTCCATCTCGTCTCTAGCCCATGCCCCACACATTTAGCCCCCTCAATCGGCCAAACAGTCGCTGCTCAGGAAAGTGGTGGCTGGGCATGCGGGCTACGTTACCCAGAATGCACACCATCATCGCCTGCTGGTGAAGCTCACTGGTGGGACTGTGACCAGATCTTTCAAGGATCTGTGAGCTTGTCACAATACAGCCTGGTTCAACCCTAGGCAGGCTCGTCTGAATATTTCAAACCGGTGCAAATGTTCCTTAAAAGGGCTCAATGTTTCGCAAGCATAGAGAAGGGAGGGCAAAATTGTGGCTGGAGCTTAGTATTGAGTGACAGGCTAGATAGCTTCCACACAGCATTATGCAGCTGATGAAAAGATAATGCTGCTCGACTGATTCAGTGAGACCTCCGCTGCCAAACCAGAGGCGTTAATAAGCACACTGCCCAGGTATGAGATCTCCTCCACCCTCTCCACAACTTCCCTATCACTCGTGGAGTATTTAATGACATAAAATACCCAGGCAGATGCTTTTTTTGTGGGGCTGATGGTAAGGCCCCATATTTCTTAGCAATACACTCCAGATTCAGCAGTAGCATCTCCAACTCTTTCTCACAGTGGGAAGCAAGCACGAAGAACAATCAAGAGCCCTGGCCTGTTGATGGTATCATAGGTCTTGACCAGGTCAATAAAGCAGAGATGTAGATCCTGTTGAAATTCCCTACACCTCTACTGTAGGCAGACCGACAAAGAATTTGGTGGTGCATAAATAATAGAGGTTTTTTTGGGTTAGATCACGTAAATATATAAATGTGTCGTTAAAATCCGCCACCACCCGACACAGCCAACTAGTAAGGGTTGTGACGTAAACAGAACATGCCAATTCGTCACGAGTACAGCACTAACCGGTGTGTTGGAGAGCCAAGCCACAACATTTACAATTTGGTGGTGACCAGCTACAAAATGGGACCTTTCTTCCAGTATCAAAGTATGAAAAAATAAGAATAGGTTTAACCCTTTCTGGCAATACAACAGGTGTTAAAATGTTCAAACACCAAATAGAAACCTATTTTTTGTATAATTTAATCTCTTTGCAAGACCAGTTTGAAACCTTAGACTGTAGGGGCAAGTTCTGTTAACGAGCACCACACACACACCACCACACACACACCACCACAGACACACACAGCACACACACACCACACACACACACTACACACACCACACACACCACACACACACACACACCACACACACACACACCACACATACCGCACACCACACATACCGCACACCACACACCACGCACACACCACCGCGCACACACCACACACACCACACCACCACACACACACATGTATATGTCCGTACATACACAAGCACAGAAGTACAGAATAACAACGACCACCACCGTTTGCCAGGTGCTCCACCACACACATCACCACCACCACCAGCAACAACGGATTTTGGAGAAAGAGGAACCTCGGGTCAGAGAGACCTGGGGACAGGAGCACAGGGGGACGTGGGACAGGAGACAGTGGACAGAGGAGACAGGGAGACAGGGGGACAGAGAACAGGGGGACAGGAGACAGGGGACAGAGGAGACAGGGAGACAGGGGGACAGAGAACAGGGGGACAGGAGACAGGGGACAGGGGAGACAGGGGGACAGAGAACAGGGGGACAGGAGACAGTGGACAGAGGAGACAGGGAGACAGGGGGACAGAGAACAGGGGGGCAGGAGACAGTGGACAGAGGAGACAGGGAGACAGGGGGACAGAGAACAGGGGGACAGGAGACAGGGGACAGAGGAGACAGGGAGACAGGGGGACAGAGAACAGGGGGACAGGAGACAGGGGACAGAGGGGATAGAGGGGGCAGGGGGGCCAGTGGATCGTGGGACAGGGAGAAGTGGGACAGGAGACAATGGACAGAGAGCAGGTGACAAGAACAGGGGGACAGGGAGACAGGGGGGAGACATGGGACAGGGAGACACAGATGACACAGGGAGGCATGAGGCAGGGAGACACAGGGGAGACAGGGGGAGACATGAGACAGGGAGACACAGAGGGGACAGAGGGGAGACGGGAGACACAGGGGGGGGACATGGGGGAGACATGAGACAGGGAGACACAGAGGGGACAGGGGGAGACATGAGACAGGGAGACACAGGGGAGACAGGGGGAGACATGAGACAGGGAGACACAGGGGGGGACATGGGGGAGACATGACACAGGGAGACACAGAGGGGACAGGGGGAGACATGAGACAGGGAGACACAGGGGAGACAGGGGGAGACATGAGACAGGGAGACACAGAGGGGACAGGGGGGAGACACAGGGGGGGACACGGGGGAGACATGAGACAGGGAGACACAGGGGGGACAGGGAGACACAGAGGGAGACATGACACAGGGAGAGACACAGAGGGAGACATGACACAGGGAGAGACACAGAGGGACAGGGGGGAGACGGGAGACAGGGAGACACAGGGGAGACATGACACAGGGAGACACAGAGGGGACATGGGGGAGACGGGAGACACAGGGGGAGACATGACACAGGGAGAGACACTGAGGGGACATGGGGGAGACATGACACAGGGAGAGACACAGGGGAGACATGAGACAGGGAGAGACACAGAGGGACACAGGGGAGACATGACACAGGGAGAGACACAGGGAGACACAGAGGGACATGGGGGAGACATGAGACAGGGAGAGACACAGAGGGGACAGGGGGGAGACGGGAGACACAGAGGGACATGGGGGAGACGGGAGACACAGGGGGGGGACATGGGGGAGACATGAGACAGAGGGACAGGGAGACACAGAGGGAGACATGACACTGGGAGAGACACAGAGGGGACATGACACAGGGAGAGACACAGAGGGGACATGGGGGAGACGGGAGACAGGGAGACATGACACAGGGAGAGACACAGAGGGACATGGGGGAGACGGGAGACAGGGAGACATGACACAGGGAGAGACACAGAGGGACATGGGGGAGACGGACATCGCCAGGTGCGGGGCGGTAACGCCCTGGCAGACCGCTCGGCCTCGGGCCCCGCGTCGCCCTCTCACGCTCCGACTCGCGACCTTCACCCCCCCAACTCTCTCTCTCTCTCTCTGCCTCCATCTCCTTCTCCACCCCTGACGCTCACTCACCCAGAAGACGAAGTTGAAGAAGAAGAGGAGGTATTTGATCAACGGGCTCACGAAGCTGAAGTCTTGCTCCCCTGCGGCGCCCGCCATGCCCGAGTCGGGTCCGGCCTCACCACGACGATGACGATGATGCTCCCCTCTCCTCTCTCTCTCTTCCTCCTGTCGTCGTCTCCTCTCTCTCCTCCTCTGATTCCCGATCTCTCAAATCACCTCCCGGCGGCTCTGTGTGCCTCTCGCTCGCTCCTCCCGTCTCGTGCAGTTCGATGTCGTCGCGACCGGGAGCAGAGGAGGAGGGAGCGCCCCCTAGGCACGGGTCATCGACATCGACACATCATCATCAGCACCAACATCATCACCATCATACTCACCAACATCACCATCATCATAATCACCAATCATCACCATCATCATACTCACCAACACCATCATCATCATAATCACCAATCATCACCATCATCATACTCACCAACACCATCATCATCATAATCACCAATCATCACCATCATCATACTCACCAACACTATCTATATATATAAAATCGTTCATGTCTGTGTGTCTGTGTGTGTGTGTGTGGACTGCACTTTCATTGGACGGCGGTTGCCCCTGGCAACGGCTAGCCACGCTTTCGCCGCTTTCATTGGACGGCGGTTGCCCCTGGCAACGAGTAGCAACTTTTCTCCGCGGGGTGGACGCCATTTTTAATAGCGCGGGGGGGGGGGGGGGGGGGACCGGCACCCGTACCCAGCGTTCGCCGGGTGCGAAAATCAGGCAAGGCGGGAGGCTCTGCACGGTGCTAGGCCTCGACACCCAACACGCCACTCTGAGGTAAATTCATACAAATTTCACGTCCTCTACAGAGTGGCGAGGGAGGCAGAGTGGCGAGGGAGGCAGAGTGGCGAGGGAGGGACTCAGCCTCAAAACGAGTAACTGGTGTGCCGTATTAACATCGCCACTGGGGAGACAAAGGCGGCCGGGCGTGGTGGATACAAGTCCCGGGCAAAGCCGGGTCATGACTATGTGTGTATGTGTTTATGTGTATGTCTCTGTGTCTGTATGTATGTGTGTATGTATGTGTCTGTATGTGTTTGTGTGTATGTATGTGTGTGTCTGTATGTATGTGTGTGTGTATTGTGTATGTGTTTGTGTGTATGTATGTGTGTGTTTGTATGTATGTGTATGTCTGTGTGTATGTGTGTGTATGTGTTTGTGTGTATGTGCGTGTATGTATGTGTGTGTATGTGTGTGTCTGCAGCAAGCGCGTGTATGTGTACCTATGGACGCGCGCGCGTGTGTTGTGTAGGGGAACGGTAGTGTAGTGCTTAGCGTACTGCCTGTGTCTATGTGTGTGTGTGTGTGTCTGTGTGTGTGTGTCTGTGTGGTGTGTCTGTGTGTGTGTGTCTGTGTGTGTGTGTCTGTGTGTGTGCGTGCGTGGTGTGTAGGAGGAACGGTAGTGCTTAGCGTGCTGCCTGTGTGTGTCTGTGTGTGTGTGTGTCTGTGTGTGTGTGTCTGTGTGTGTGTGTCTGTGTGTGTGTCTGTGTGTGTGTCTGTGTGTGTGCGTGTGTGGTGTGTGGGGAGCGGTAGTGTAGTGGTTAGCGTGCTGTCTGTGTGTCTGTGTGTGTGTGTCTGTCTGTGTGTGTGTTCTGTGTGTGTGTCTGCGTGTGTGGTGTGTGGGGAGCGGTAGTGTAGTGGTTAGCGTGCTGTCTTTGTGTCTGTCTGTGTCTGTCTGTGTGTTTCTGCGTGTGTCTGTGTGTGTGTGCGTCTGTGTGTGTGAGGAGCGGTGGGTGTAGTGGTTAACGCTACGCTGCGCTACCAACCCGGCGAACCGAGTTAGATTCCCGCTCATGGCCACCACCGATCAAGATTATTTTAACCTCACATAGGTCGACTCAGCCTCAAACGAGTAACTGGTGTGGCGTATTAACATCGCCACTGGGGAGACAAAGGCGGCCGGCCGTGGTGGATACAAGTCCCGGGCGAAGCCGGGTAGTACAGCTAGTCATCATCATAATCACCAATAATCACCATCATCATACTCACCAACACCATCATCATCATAATCACCAATCATCACCATCATCATACTCACCAACACTATCATCATCATAATCACCAATAATCACCATCATCATACTCACCAACACCATCATCATCATCAGCACCAACATCATCATCATACCAACATCACCAACACCATCATCATCAACACCAACATCATCATCAGCACCAACATCACATCCCCATTTTTGGATGCACGACGGACGGACGGACACAATAATCCCCTGTGGGCTGGTGGAACCAGGAGGTTCCTACCAGAATCATGACTGCTCGACTCCCTCAATGGGGCTTTCAAACGCAAACGAGGAAACGCGATTCCAATTCAGTCCGCACACGAGTCCCTCCTGCAATGCCTCAGCACGTGTTTGTTCCAACACATTGCACGCCATAATAGAGGGGTATTTGGGGGGGGGGGAGTTAGATCACGTAAATATATAAATGTGTCGTTAAAACCCGCCACCACCCGACACAGCCAACTAGTAAGGGTTGTCACAAGCTGGTTGTAAATGTTGTGGCTTGGCTCTCCAACACACCGGTTAGTGCTGTACTAGTGACGAATTGGCCACGTTCTGTTTACGTGACAACCCTTACTAGTTGGCTGTGTCGGGTGGTGGCGGGTTTTAACGACACATTTATATATTTACGAGATATAACCCCAAAAAAAACTCTATTATGGATGATATTGGTCGCGAAAGCTTACTACTGCTACGTGGTAGTAAACTAACATTTGAGGCTGAGTCGACCTAGGGGAGGCCCAGGACCGGTTCAAGTAATCGTCACTGGTGTTGGCCGTGAGCGAGAATCGAACTCGGGTCTTCGGGTTCGTAGCACAGTGCGCTAACCGCTGCGCCACCGCTCTCTGCTCACCCCCATCACCAACCACCCCCACCAACTCTCTCTCTCTAAACATCGATTTTGCTTGAAGGCCAGTCGCCCGAAACGTCTACATTAAACTGTCAGGTTTATTCGTTAACACGTCTCTTCCTGCCTAGAGCACTCAGCAGGGACGTATCGAATTGACGTAATGGTATGATGAAGAGAACATTGAGGAATTGGTGCACAACTCCCGTTCACCATTCTCGGCCAGTGGTGGAATTTCCACGTTCCTGTGGCGGGGCCGAGTATTTCCAGAGGGCACGTACACATGCACAATCCTTTACTCCTGATTACTGATCAGTGCGATGGATTTGGGGGGGGGGGGGGGGGGGGTTACTCGACTCATCATCCTTAGTTCCGGGGTCGATAAAACGAGTACCACTTTGTTGAGCCAACAGTGGTTGTCCTCTCCACCACTGGCGAGGCAGCTCTGTGTGCAGGAGATGAGCACCGACGGCTCCGTGACCGATTTAGCAGTAGCACCTCGCTCTGATGAGGTCGACGTTGTGTTTGGTGGTGGTGGTGGTTGTTGGTGGTTGTTGTGTTGGTGGTGGTGGTTGTTGTTGGTGGTTGTTGTGTTGGTGGTGGTTGTTGTTGGTTGTTGTTGTGTTGGTGGTGGTGGTTGTTGGTGGTGGTTATTGTGTTGGTGGTGGTTGTTGTTGGTGGTTGTTGTGTTGGTGGTGGTTGTTGTTGGTGGTTGTTGTGTTGGTGGTGGTTGGTGGTGGTTGTTGTTGGTTGTTGGTGGTTGTTGTGTTGGTTGTGGTTGTTGTTGGTGGTGGTTGTTGTGTTGGTGGTGGTTGTTGTTGGTGGTTGTTGTGTTGGTGGTTGTGTCGTTGGTGTCACCACGTGTGACTTGTGTACACACGCGCGCTCGTGGCCATGCACTGTGTGTATGTTTAACTTATTTCGCACCGTACGTAGCCAACCGTGATAATCGGAGGAAGGACAACAGACGAAACACACAAAGCAGTTCTCAAGAAATCAGTTTTCAGTCTGGATTATTAACAAGTATAACCCGTAAAAACAAAGTTTTTCACTATAATCCTTTATATGCGTGGCGGCTAGAGTCCTCTCGTCCTCTGGCTTGAGATGGCTGCCACCTATGGGTCAGATGATTGCATTGCACCATTAAGCAATTGGTAATTAAATATAATATTTTTGTCCTAAAAAGTGTAAAATTTTGGAATTTTTCCCACGAACATTAATTGTCACGCACAACGAGTCTGTGTGGAAAATGTCAGCTCGATTGGATCACGGGAAGTGGGTTAAAAAACGACCGAAAGATTTGCACGGTCGTAAGCGCGCAAGCAAGCATGTGAACTTAATATAAAGGATTTAAAAAGTGCATCGCTCCAGTGGCTTCCTAACATCGGAAGAAAGAGCGTTCCAGACGGCCACAGAAGCTCATCTGCAAGCGCGCGATGCAGTGACCGTCTTTGTCTTCCCCAGTGCTAGTGTTTACACACCGCACCGGGTACTCATTTGAGGCTGAGTCTACCTAGCGGAGATCCAGGGCTGATTCGGATATATTCGCTGCCACATGTTGGCAGTGAATGGGGATCGAACTCGTCTTGTTTGGTTCGTCGCGCTCCGCAGGCGCTAACCGCGGCACCACCGCTCCCCATGACAACAATCACAACAAGATGAAGAACCCCCGTAAAGCCTTTAACAGACTATTGGGGCAAGTGCTATGAAGGCCGACACGGCGCACGAGGTGGGTCGATGGCCAACACCACGCCTGGCCGCCTTTGTCTTCCCAGTGACGATGTTTAAACACCGCACCAGGTGCTCATTTGAGGCTGAGTCGACCTAGGGGAGGCCCAACACGGGTTAGAATGTTCGCCAACGGTGTTGGCAGTGAGCGGGAATCGAACCCGGGCAGCCGGAGTTCGTGGCGCAGCGCGCTAACCGATGCACCACCGCTCCCCATGACAACAATCGCGACGCACGCTCCTCGACCCACGTGACCACTCGCCCCCCGGGGGGGCGGGGCCGCAAGGAAGGGGAGGGGCCGCAAGGAGGAGGGGGAGGGGCGATGGGGGAGGGGCGGGGCCGCGATGGGGGGGGAGGAGCCACAAAGGGACGGGGCCGCGAGGGGGCGGGGCCGTGGGGGGGGGGAAGTCTCGCGCGCGGATCTCGCGCCACCTCTCGCGAGATTTCGCCTGGAGGAGACTACAAGATGGCGCCGCGTCGGCAGCTGTAAGAGTCGAGGCGACTCGGGCCCGGCACCAGCAACAACAACAACAGCAGCAGCAGCGGCAGTGGCGGCGTCGGGCGGAGGGCGGCGCGTTGAGTGGGACGCGAGCGAGGTGCGAGGTAGGTGCGCGAACGCGCCTCGGTCGCGGGGCTCTTCACCCGCGAGCGAGCGCAGCGCTGAGGCGACTAGGCCCGAGATGCGGCCTGAGGACTCAACTGGGCGAGAGTCGAGGCCGCTCCGAGCTGGGGCGGGAGGCCGCTCGCAGCGTCCCCCCCTCGCCCTCACCCCTCCGCCCTCCTCACCCTCACGCCCTCACCCTCTCGCCCTCACCCCTCACGCTCACCCCTCACGCCCTCACCCTCACGCCCTACCCTCCCCTACACCTCTCGCCCTCACCCTCTCGCCCTCACCCCTCGCCCTCACCCTCTCGCCCTCACCCCTCTCGCCCTCACCCCTCACGCCCTCACCCCTCCCCCT